CTGTGTCTTGCTCACCCTGCTATAGCCCCCCCCCTAGTGACACACCGGAAGGGATATGTGATGTTGGCACAAGCTGCTGGTCATCACAAGGAGGAACACTGTGTCTGTCGTCTCCCCCTGCTAGCCCCCCCTAGTGACAGTGAATGGGATATGTGATGTTGGCAGAAGCTGCTTGTCATCACAAGGAGGAACAGCGTGTCTGTCTTCCCCTGCTAGCTCCCCCCTAGTGAAAGCGGATGAGATATGTGATGCTGGCAGAACGTGCCAGTCGTCACAACATGAGACAATGTGTGTCTGTCTCTGCCTGCTACTTGGGAGATACCTGCCTATGCATGGCCTCCTGTAGCTCCCAAGTAGCAGGCAGAGACAGATACACTCTGTTCCTCCTTGTGACAATTGGCAGCTTCTGCTGACATCACCTATCGCATCCACTGTCACAGAATTGGGTATGGCAACATGTCAGTAGCAGTCTGACTGTGGGACTACAGGGAACACTGTGCGTAGACATGGAATCCTGTAGTTCCCATGTAGAAGGCAGAGACGCAAACTGATCGCGCTAGGCTTCCGTGCCTGGCATGCTCGGATGGAAATTGGACAGAAGGGGGAATGGCAACATCACCAGCTATTTCACACCAACAAAGCAATCAAAAGAGAACAGGCTACCTTTACAAATGAGTACATGATGACACAGACACATATGTGATAAAGTAACATACAATTTAAGTCTTGGCATTGGTTGTATAAAATCTTATGTATTTCCGGCTTCACAAACAATCATGTCTGGTATTGTGTTGCACACTTCCACTACACAGGGTGCCATCCAGCACAGACACAGGAATGAAGTGTTGCACAAGTCGTGTGTATGTCTCCATCCGGGTGTCTGCCCTCCAGGACTGAAATCAGCTGGAGAATATATTGTATGGATTGTGGCCAGATTTACACAGTCGGCATTATACAAAGACATCTGAAGGTCCTTTTCTATGTGAACGTCCGGAGATTTGGTAGAATGTGTCTTCAATGTTAATTGTTTTTATTTAATCACATTATTATTGTCATCCGGCACTGTAATATGACATATAAGGAGGAGATAAGTTTACATTATGAGGTTACTCATACACTAGACACGTCATGTGTTTGATCATGGAGAGAGCGTGATCTAAATTCCTCTGTGACTCAGCAAAACATTTACTGCTCTCGACTATTATATGGATAAAGGAATACACCTTGATGAGCCGCTCACAGCAGGCAGGGCAGATGTACTGGACCTATCATCCCCTATAAACACATTTCTGTCTCCATAGGAAGAGTGAACTGTGTATTGGGTGCACATGATTTTCAGCTGATGCCTGAAACTGCCAACACCAGCAATAATTTTTCTTCTTCGATATGAATTACTATTATACAGGATGTATATAGCACCAACAGTTTGTGTAGCGCATTACCGTTACAATACAATTCAATACAAGAGAATTAGGAGGGCTGAATAATTTGATGCTCAAAATAGTTTAAAGAACTCTGGGCATTTGAAAAACGTTCCCTTGTAGTGGGGCAACCCCTACATTTCAAGGGATAAGTTCTCATTTTTCTCTAGAGGAGAAAATAAAGAAGATATATTCACCTGATCCTCTGACCCAGGGAGGTCATTGCACACCTCTCTGCTCCGGCTGTGGATTGTTCCTTGGCGTCCTCACAGGCAATGGACCTGCATTAGACGTCAGCGGACCATTCACACCACATCCAGATCATCACCAGACCAAATTGTTTCCAGACCCAAAATGCATCCTAATGTATCTCTATGCTATTTCCGGCCTCTGTTCACACCAGCGCAGTCCGTTCCAGACCAGAAAAATACAGCATGTCTCATTTTGTCTGGTCTCGAATGCACTGGAACTGCAGGCAGGTTCACACCATCTTGCGGACCAGATCTGGAAAATAGTGCATTGCATTTTTACCGTGATTTTGCCGCGATTTTATTTTTGTATTTTTTTCGCTTAAAATGCGTTCCAGACCAGACAAAATAGGACAAACATTATTTTTCTGGTCTGGTGGGAACAGAAGCCAGAAATAGCATAGGGATACACTAGGATGCATTTTGGGTCCGGAAACAGTGTGGTCTAGTCTGGGGGTAATCTGGATGTGATGTGAATGGGCCCTGAGACTGCCGGAGCCCAGGGGGAGAAGAGGCTGCAGGGACTGGTCAAGCAGCCCGGTGGGATCGAGAATCAGGTGAGTATATTATTCTTTATTCCATCCCCTAGAGAAAAACAAGCAGTTAACCCTTGCAATGCGGGGGTAGCCTCACTTTTCTATGGCCCCTGTCCACACCTGAGCATTTTGTCGCACATAGTTTTTGTCTGCCAAAAAGTAGCTCATATTTTTTCCAGTGACACGTGTTTTTCTATTTGCGACACAACGCTCAACAGGGGCCATAGAGATGAATGGGATTCCTTGTCTTGAGTTTTTTGTCGTACTTGGCTTTGAGCGACAGAATGCCTAGGTGTGAATGGAGCCTCATTTCCTTGTCTTGAGCGTTGCATCCAGCTTAGTTTTGAGCGACAAAACATCTAGGTGTGAACGGAGACCATTTTTCAGATTCCCGGATCTCTTCTTTAATGAGTGTGCACAGCAAAAGGGTTATCTCCCTTTCCCGTGGAGAAGTGCATACAGGAAAATCCCTTGGGCTAATCCCCTGCTAGAGCTTGGCATGCTGTTCCATTCAGATAATCTGTACTGTGGTTAAAGCTGCAGCATCAATAGTAAACATCCTGAATGATGGTATATGGCCAGCCAGAGCGGACTCTACACATGACAATCTGATTGGACAATCTCCTTTTAGATTGATCACCAACATGTATTGAGGGCCTAAAGAATTTAAAGGGATATTTGTAATATAATAATGGAGGCTGCCATTACTAAACTCTCCTGTAAGAATTCTAGTTCTCTGTCTGTCATTCTGATACTCATTAGTGTTGATTTTCTGAAGAGAAACCGGCTGTACACAGTGCAAGGAAATTTCCACATTGCCGCAGCCTTTCACATAAGGGTTCCCCTTTAGTTAGTGAATGAGGTGACGCTCCGCTGACTTCCATCATTCAGACACGTACAAGCAAAAATACTGTTTTTTTTTTAAAATTTCCCTTGGACGTGATTGGATATTCTTTGCAATGTGAAATTTTCATCACATTAACTTAGCTCAGAGAAAAGTACCTTGCAAGATGAACCCAGGATATGTGGCTAGGAACACCTCTTAAAAAGTATCATCTCACTTCAAGGTTTGTTTAGGTTGTTTATTTGAATGGAAAATTCAGATACAGCCGAAGTGTTTGCGGGGGAATTAGACTTCTCCTTCCTCAGGGATAACATACAAAAGAATAATAAAAATATAATGGGGGGGGATTTATCAAAACTGGAGCAGACAAAATTTGGAGCAGTTGCCCAGGGCAACCAATCGGCTTCTCTCTTCAGTTTGTTCGGTTAAGATTTGAAAATGAAAGAGAGAAGCTGATTGGTTACCATGCACATCTGCTCCAGATTTTGTCTGCTCCAGATTTTGTCTACTCAAGTTTTGATAAATTCCCCTCATTGTATAGTTACATCTAAGAGATATGATGGTTGTATAAAATGATTCAATAAAACTTGATTAAAAAAACCAACAGAGGCAAAAAATATGTAATAGAAATGCAATAAAACTTTAATAAAAAACATAGATTCCTGTGAAATAACAACGGCGGGGACGGGGTCTATAGCAGTATGCTTGCAAAGTAAACGGCCTATTTGCCTTCAGTAAATCATCCACTTTGAGTCGCTGACCCGGAACAAGTACCAAGATGAGTAGTTCTGACCCTCATGTACAGCATGCTTGTTCTGTGAATGAAACATACTGAAGTCATACACAGCCAGGCATCGAGTGTTTTCAGAAGAAGGCCTGCAATGGAAGCCCCATACTACTCCTATGATAGTCACTTTAATCGAATTTGCTTTGTTCAGCAGGCTCTCGTACTACATAATGGTTTTTACATGGAATATGACATTGTACAGTCACCTTTACCCCACTTATTGAAGCAGCCCATAGGCTGTGAACAATGGTAATGGATTACCAATACACTCACAGTGGGGAAGCAGCCAGGATTTTGCAATGTACTGGAGTATTATCGCACCTTAGCTTTGCTTATACGTGCCCTCCAGTTAGTTTGAATTTTTTTTAGTTTTGGATAGAGCGGAGAGGGGTTTGACAACCCCCCCCCCATCAGGTTTTATTGCTGTCTGTGTCCCCATTAGGGAGATTCACCTTCTTTATTTCTCCTGCTGACTGTTATCACTGAAAGTAAGAAAATCTGAGATTTTGGGTTATCACCAGAACATGAATAGAGGGGAAATCTTTCAATGGGGACGCTAGTTTTGCTGACCCTGCTGATCACCAGGGATTTCCCTCACTGTGGAGGGATTTCCTCTAATTTTCTGTTCTTCTGTCCGGACCGCGATTCGATGAAAATTTTGCTCACCGGACCTCCTTGAGTTCTAATTCCCTACCCCTGATTCAGAGGCACGGATCTATAGCACAGATAAAGCCTAATATTATAGAGCAGGGGTAGCCAAACTCCAGCCCTCCAGCTGAGGGGAAACCACAAATCCCATCATGCATCTGCCTCTGGTGGTCATTCCTGTGGCTGTCAGTGTCTTGCAAGGCCTCATGGGATTTGTAGTTTCACCACTGCTGGAGGACTGAAGTTTGGCTACCCCTGTTATGCAGCTGTTTATTCCAAACTGCATATAGCTGTTCCAGGCTGGTTGGCCATCAGGGAGATATCATGCAGGTGAATCTTTCGTTGTTTTTGTTGATTTAGAACATTTTCTTTTTTTAAGCTCTTCACAAATATCCAAAAATATTTTTTTGTCTGTTTTATTATATTAATATTTTGTCTTTCTTCCCAAAGGGCCCTGGAACTCCAGCCGTTCTCCATCAAGCCCCTGTTAAGAAGAGCGATGGCATATGAGTCCCTTGAGCGGTATAGACAGGCGTACGTGGACTATAAGGTAGCACTTCAGATAGACAGCGGGACACAGTTGGCCAATGACAGTATCAACAGGTACGAAATCCTACGAACTGACCGCAGTTTATAAAAACACTCTCCTATGCTTAATAACTGCATTTATATCAGGGCAAGAAACTATTTCTGGAGCACAGAAGTCCATTCACTACCTGAAACATGCCTGTTTTATTTACATTTTTTATAAATGTACAGTAAACTCCCCTCTATCCGGCTTTCAAGCACCCAGCACTCTCAAGCAACCAGCAAAAAAAATAGAGGACATAATATGTTCTGACAGGGTGAGGAGAAAGCAGCACAAATAGCCAGTAAGGTGTGTGGCAATGCTGTGAGCTTGCTGATAGAAGGAGACAGCTGAGAGATGAGCTCATCAGTGTGCTGCTTCTCCTTTTACTATCCAGTCACGGGGTGGAGGAGGAAGAGGAACTGTAAGTGAAAGCAAAACTACAGAAAGACCATGCCCTCTCTTCCAGGCAGGGCGGTGCTGTGTGGCAGAGCTGTGTAAATCTCTTTAATGGTTGGACAGAAATACAAACCCTTTAACAGATAAAACAACTCTCATGTGTATTATATCTGCCCATTTAGCTGTTTGCTTGAAGTTCAGCTTCACTGAATAGGATAGCAGACACAACTTTGCAATCTGTCCAATGTTTAGTGACGCCAACTATTTTCCACGGTGTGCTAATTTAATCGTTTACACTCTGTGTCACGTCTGCTCATCTAATCTGTCTAGTTCTAAAGGATGACATTATGCAGCTAAACTCTTTAGGGTTTTTAGATTGTTTCATATGCTGTTGCAAAGATTGCAGATTGATGCCATTCTAAGAGGAAGGGGTTATTTCCATTGTATTTAAAGACTATTTGCAGGTTGTACAGTTTTATATAAATATATTACATGAAATGTTGTCCAAACAGAATTACGAAAACGTTAATCGATTTGGATGGGCCCAGCTGGAGAGAGAAGCTGCCACCAATTCCATCAGTGCCTGTGGCCACCCAGATTCAAATGCAAGAGAAAGCCACAGCCAATGCAAAGACTTCAAAGAACATCAGAGTAGCAAGTGACACCGGTATGTGATGTGCTGCTCACTGTATTGACTCTCATATTCTCGGGTTGGATGACCTCCAGAATGCTTCTACTATCTGGAGTGCACATTGTTGATCTGCTTTACCAACACATTTGGCGTTAAGTAGTGAGACACTAAAGCTAAACAAAGGCTGGAAATACAACAGGTTATGCTAATGTAATATTGTCTTTTGAGCACTGGATGGCGCTGTAGTGCAATTCTAGCCCATGCTAGTTTTCTATATGCATGCTCATCTATGATTAATATGTGTCCTGTTTGATGCTGTATTCCTGTATATTTACATGTAATGTCCTGCTCACCAAGTAAAACTTAATTCAGCATTCCTCAATATATCAGTGATTCATCTAAACACCTAACCAACAACAAATACATTACAAAAAACATAGCACACAGAGAACCTCTTGACAAACAGAGCTTCATTCCCCAACAGGCCAGTCCTCTACTTCTTACATTTTCAGAACTACAAATAAAAGGATGCTCGCCATTTTATTGTCAGATGATTGCAGCGACTCCCTGGAGAGTAAACTGTACTTTACACTTCAGAATGGTGACTCTCCAGTGAGTCAGTGTAAAGTTCTGATATTACAGATGGGGGCTGACACTCCTTCAGCTTGGCATTCTAAAGAACTGATGACATGGCTAGATTGAATGAACATGCATTTCTTTTTATCAGTTGTGTCTCTTTGCATTCGTCCAAGGGTCACCATACATATTATAATCTGACCCTCCAATCTTTGTACAAACAACTTTTACACCTACCAAAACGATGTAATATGAGGACCTACCAAATCTATCCAGTCCGTTTGTATCCAACCATGCAGGCCCTTGCGCTACATACTTGTTGGTAGATCTAAAAGAGATTGTACAATGGGATGGTAACGTGTGTGGTGAACTTAACTCTCTTAATTTGAACTAGTTCATATGGGCAGCAGGGTCCACTACGGAAGAGCAGCAGCTACCCAGTGTTCAGGAGGCAATACTGCTGTCTCAATTCCCTTTTTTCTCTCATTTTTATCCCAAATGGGGATTTTCTGTTGCAATACCACACCGCAGCCACGTGTGGTCACATTGATTGCAATGGACATACTGTTTAGAATTAAAGAGGAACTCCATGGAAATAATGAACCCCTGCAAGGGTTAACTGCTTGTTTTTGTCTATGTCAGAAAAAAAAGTTATACTCATCCGATGCTCTGAACATATGCGGAACAGGAGTTCTAATAAAATATAGTGAATGGTTCCAGAATGTGCTCATATGGAGAATTCTATTTAAATGGCATAAAGAGCGAATGTGATGTGCAGTGCATTCAACTAACCTACCTACCTAATCAAATATTAACAAGTAATACTAAACTGCATCAAACAATAACCTACAGCGACTGATTACACCCAAATGAAATTAAGAACTGTATTGGATTAAGAAGAAATGGACTATACACACACACACACATTGTATATATATATATAT